CTGTCATAAACGTTTGGAGGGGTAAGAAAAATAGCCGACCAGCAAAAAAAAAAAAACAAAGAAGAATCAGGAAAAGAATAACACGACGCTAAAGCTCAACCAATGCCCGATCTTGCTGATGAATAAAAAGGTTCAAGATTTAGAGAGGTCTTTATGACATCCATTGTTAGAATATTAGATAAAAGAAGTGAAGGTTGTTCCTCCTATCTTACCAAGTATCTTTACAAACTTAGTCATAAAGTTATTACTTTCTCCTAAAGAGCTACTCCAATGGATATGTAGCTCATCCATTTATATGTCCAAGACTCATTCCCAATCCCTTCAATATGAGACATAATAGCTTTTCAGCCAACCCTCCTATTACAAATGGTTCATTGACAGAGAAAATTTAAATTTAACTCTAACGCTCCGTTGATATGCAAGTTTTAATTTAGAGGGATTGATATTGAAATTGATATTAGGATTGATAGTGGGAATGATACTTAAAAATTATGTTGGTATTGAGGTAATACTTATAGAGTATAATTTTTTTATTTATTTTACAATTAAATATAAAGTATGAAAAGACTATACTATCCTTAAAATTTAAAAAAAAATTAGAAACCTTCTCCCAAAACGTATGGCAGCACAAGGCTCATCTTCTCCATACCTTCGTGATTGTGCATCTTTTGAGAGAGGGAGATCGAGTTTGGACCTATGAGAAAAGGAGATGAAAGTGATTGCGAGATCTAAAACAATGGTGGCTGTGAGATCAGCGAAGGAGAAGGAGCAATGGTTGCAAGATCCAGAGGTTGTGGCTACAAGATCTAGCGGTCGGCAATTGCGAGATCAAAGAAGGAGAAGGAGAACGCAACGACGGTTGCGAGATCCAGAGGCTGTGGTTGTGAGATTGGAGAAGGAGAAGGTGTTCGCATTGGCGGTGGCTGTGAGATAGGAGAAGATGAAGGTGGAAGGCCGGACATGTACAAAAATGAAGGTATTTTTAGTCTAAAAGAATTCAATCTCAAGTTTAAATTTTCAATACCACCTCCCCTATGGGTTTCATTAATCCTATCTACATGGGTTTTATAACCCAAGGATTAAAGAATCCATCATACCAAATGTTGTATCTGTAGGTTTCTTTAATACTAGTCCCAGTCCCAACTTCTCATACCCCATACCAAACATAGCCTAATATTACTTTATCAGAGGACCATTATTCTCTCTCTTTAAAAAAATTCGCTTAATGAAGTGTGTAACACATCCACTTGTGTGCTTATGTCTCTCCTCAAGTCCTTCAAATATGGAATGTAACACGTCACTTTATTATCTTCATGATGAATGAAAGTAAAAGAAAATTCAGAATTAGAAAGCCACAAAGTCCAAATTATCAAACGCCATCCCTCCATAGGTCCATTCACAAAACTCAGGACAATGATCTCACTCACAATTTACCAAGTTTACCTTTTAAGTGTGATAGAGAGGAGAACATAATACATATCCTCTGAGAGTGTGAGATTGCTAGAGAAGTTTGGCTTTCTTTAATTAACCCTATATATTTGTCTTCTTTGCTTTCTTTAACTTGTAGGAATGGCTAAAATATAACTCGCAGCGTGAATTGGGTAGAGTTGACAATCAATAATGGCCTCGAATAAAAAATTTTTGCTCTGTGTGTTGGATGCTATGGAAGAATCGATGTAAGAAAGCTATGGAAGGAAAACATCTTAATGCATCTGAAATTGTTTAACGCATCAAGTTTCATCTGATGGAAAAACAGAGGCAAATGAAAAATTCAAACATAAAATTTTTTTAGAAAATGGAAGGCTTGGAGGAGAATGGAGACATCCCCCGACTAGTTATTATAGGCTTGATACAGATGAATCGGTTAATCAAGAGGGATATGCTACTTGTAAAGGGGTCATTAGGAATTCAAGAGGAGATTGGATTATGGGATTCTAAAAATGACTTAGTTCTCACCATCTACAACTGTTGAACTTCAGGGTCTCATGGAAAGATTGAGGATTAGTAAACAATATAATTTTACTTAGATTTACTATCATATTGACTGCATCACTTTGATTCAGCTTTTGCAGCACAGATGTGTGCCGGATCATCCACTTAGGCAAGAGGTACATGAAGCTAGACAGCTCCTATCTTTGGCTAAAGGCATACATGTTCAATACTCTAATAGAGAGATCAATTGTGTGATAGACTATCTTGCCAAGGAAGTACATAATGTGATCGACTGCATTGTCCTTTTGAATACATCCCCGAGTTGTATTGGTTTTTATCATTTAGATAGAAATGTGTAATTTGTTTTGTTTACTTTTCCTCTAGTGTTAGAATTTTCAAGCCTAGACTTATCTTATAATTTAAAAAAAAAAAAAAGACAGTCACTTTCAAAAATGACTTTATCATGCTCAATTTTAATCATAAAAGCCAAAAGGAAAGCAATCCCAAAAAAACAAAAAAAACAAAAAAAACCCAAACAAAGTCCCCGGTATCATCTCTATGATTCCAACAGCAACGGCATTATTATTAGGATTAAAGGTGACCTTATTATTAGGGTAAACGTTCAATGTTTAAACCACCCTAATGTAAAAAAAAAAATCATCAATTACTTATACTATGTACAAATCATAAAACAAACAATGTCATGATTCATTATTCTAACAGCACAAAAGTTTTCTATATTATAAATTATTAATTTATATTTTTATTATTTTTTTACATATAATTTTTAGGGCATTTGCACATATAGCCTATTTCATAAGACCAAATAAAAGAAATAGCCTATCCTTTCTTAAATTTAAAAAATACCCTTTTTAGTATTTAGTTTATAATTAATTTACAAAATCTTTTTTAATATCTATCTTTTGCAAATACTGGAATATTCAAAAGGCAAGAAATCTTTAAAATGAAAAAGATAAATGTGAGAGAAAAGACAGAATTGGATGTGAGAGAGACAAAAGTGAGACAATAAAACAGTGTGAAAGAGCCACAGTCATGACTGCAAGAGACAAATGCCAAGTGAGATACATCGACAAAACGGAGCACATCAATGAAGAAATGAAGTTACATATTCATGATTGTTTATTTTATTAGTTTAGGTATTTAACTTTCTAGGATAAACTAAGAATCCAAAAATACTTGTGGATTGTATTTGATTCATTTTAGGCAAATGATTATGTATTTTTTGTGTTATTGGTTTGTAACACTACATCGTTGATATATTGTTGTATATCACTGATATACTATCGTAGATCAATATAACTAGATAATCAGACGTAAACTTGTTTATCATTGATAGTGCAAATCAATAACACAAAAAATACATAATTATTTATCCAAAATGAATCAAACACAGTTTGCAAAAAATTCAATATTATCGAGAGATATGAAGATGGTGAAAATTTAATGATAGATAATAGATTCTAGTCTACTCTTTGGCTTCCAAAAATGAAAATTTCTCTTCAATTTTAATGTTCTCTTCATAAAAGAGGGAGAGAGAAGAAGGCTCTGCGATGAAGAAAGACATTGACAATTTTATATTTAAAGAAAAAAAGAAATGATTTAGAGAAAAAAAAAAAAGATTCAATCAATTAATAATTAGTTACCATAAATATTGTATTTTAATAATAAATTTAATCTAAGGATAAAAAAGTAAAATATATTTAATTAATTTTATGAATGGGCTATACTCCAAAATATTCAAAATTTTCATCCATAATTTATGGGAGTTTTTTTTTTTTTAAGGCCATTGAGCCAATTTCCTCTAATTTTTATTGCTTAACCAATAATTTTTAATATAAATTTATGAAAATTTCTAAATATCATGCAGATATACAAAAAAAAAATGTTTTTAACTTATAACTACGCTTCTTAAGCTTGCTTGTTAAACGATCTTAACTCCTAGAACTTACAAGTTAAATTTTTCTTCCCTAATCCCATAACCCAATGTAATAACAGTGCTTATTTGAATTTCATTTGTGATGACATATGTATTCACGCCACGAAACTTGAAAGTTTTCATAAGCTCCAAATTTTATTAATTATGGTTTGGTGATATTTTGAGTTTGTCAACTTTGCCGCAGAATGTAGAATGAAGCACATCACTTGTCACCACCCTCACGTTGGTATTAATATGAAAATGTTAGAAGCCATCGTGAGGGCATAATTATGGTAACCCCCAAAACGCCTTAAACAGTTTGAAAACAATAAAAAAAAAAAAGATCACAATTTACAACTTGTCCGAATGAATAAGAACAAGATTGAATGACACAGTGTTGAATTATCCAGCCTACATTTTTTTCTTAACGGTAACCCTACAAGTTGTCAGAGCCTTCCAAACGAGCTCCATTATGCAGTCAATCAAGCATTCAATCTGTGGTCTTCTCTATACAGCTTGCATTGGGCCGATGAGTCCGATGTAACGTCTCACCAAACCTTTCTCCGGCCCATAAGCCCAAGAACGTCCTCCCAGAACCCAATGCTTCCAACACTGCCCAGCCAACAACACTTGGGCTGCAAGCAGCTACAGTCCAATACCCGGCCCTAATTTCATCCCTTAACTGCTCCTTCTCCCACCCACAGTACCCATGAAAGAACCTCAAATCTCCAACTCCCACCACATTCCTCTTTACCATTTCAGCTGCGCAACCCACACTCTCCCTCGTCCCATAGTACAAACCCTTCATCACCTCTTCCAACACCCCGCTTGCACTCTTCTCCAGGCCTTCCTCTTTTGGACCCAACAGAAACAGGCCTGCGTCCAATGGCCCACCAAAAAACAATGGTCTGTTTGAGAACATGCCCTCCTCATCCATCGTTGTCGATCTCGTCTCCTTGATGGACATTAAGGACGGCCGGTTCAGTATGATCCCTGATGGGCCCACAGGCCCAGTGGAGAGAAGCAGGATCACTGTCCGTTCGAAAATGTGGACCCCATCCAGCTTCTCGGTGGCAATCAACAGGCAGCCCTTTTCGGGCTCGTGTATAATGTGGGCCATTTATCCCCAACGCTGATGGGTGGCGGATCGGGGACGGAAGAAGAGGAAGGCTCGTCCGACGTCGTTCTTTGCCGTTCTCCGGCCACCAGCTTAGCACGGAAGGATCGCCAATCTGCGTTGAGAGATGCCTTATCATCGTCTCCATCGAACGGCGAGGAGGATGACAGATGGCAACCTGTGATTTAAACCATGAACAGTGTGCAAATCAGGACGGTTCTTGTGTTCTACAGATCAAATCAAACCAATCGAAGAATACATGCGAATATATGTACATATACAGGGTTGTTGAGAGAGTGACGAAGTGAGGAAAGTGAAAGAACTTACATGGAGCAGCAACTGTCCTTGAGGGGAATTGAAGAGAGGATCTTTTGGGGAAGGATAGAGAGGGAGGGGATTTGAGAAAGTGAATTGGTTGATCGAGGGATTTAGTGAAGGAATTGGAGACGAGGAAACAGGCTTCCATGGCTTCTCGTTTCAAGTATAACAGTGAGCGGGTGTGAGAAGGACGGGAGGAATAGAAGGAATATATAAATAAAGAGTGGATTGAGAATGAACGTGAACCACACATAAATTTGCTGAAGGGAGCGTCTCGTAAAAGCATGTGACAGTGGATAGAATTGCCAATTGGACTGACGACGCGTGCGGCAATACACACATCAGCTTTGCTTTTGGAGGGATCAAACCCTTTTAACATGACGTGTCAAGTTCCAAGCCACTTATTGCTCTGATTTCTTTCTTCCCACAACTTCGTTCGGCCTGCAGAGGTGCCTCGTTTCGTGGCACTGTTCTTTGAAAATCAACTCTTGTTTTAACCAGTGTCACACGGGCCATGTTTTACTTCACAATTTTGTTTTTTTTTTAAGAAAAAACATGATATCTTATTTATTATAATGACTATGAATATATTTGGATATCTGTTGGATAAAATTAAAATATAAAAGAAATCGAGTAATAAAATATATTTTGATTTGATTATAATAAATTATGGTATATGGTGTAACACACCAAAAAAAATTTTTTTTTTAAATAATTTAATTCAACCATAGTTGGGTTACAGCCACCCATCACATTTTTATATCAATAACTTCAATTATAAAATATTTTATAATTGGCTTCAACTCATACACTATAATATTTCAGATAAATTTTTACCTCCCACATGCCATTAGGCTAAATCACATTTGTCCATCCTTATACTCCCAACAAGTAAACTAAATCACATTTGTCCATTCTTATACTCTCAACAAGTAAAATAAGCAATTTAGTCATTTTTCAACATAAACCAGTTATTTGGCCTTATAATCATGCCATTTTAACCAATCCTAAAGTAAACCAAATATTAAAATTACAGTCATCCAAATTGTACCACAAATAGAAATAGTTTGAAAAGCATGATTACATTTATATATTCATATAATTGACAATAAACAAAAAGCCCTAATATTGGCAATATACACATTATAAATCATAAATTAAATACCCAAAAGAGACAGTGGATTTATACCACTAAGCCTCTGGGACTCCTCCACGTGTCACTCGTGGCTCTTCTCCTGAAAATTGTTAACCACATAATGAGACTCAAAAGTCCCAGTAACCAAAGCCAATTTATGATAGTATATACAAACAGTTAAGTGTGTGCTTACTAAGTGAGAATTAAAAATAATATAATTCCAACAAATATAAGAAATATTACAATACACACAAACAACCATCCTTATATCCCTCCATTAACCTCGAGCCGTAGCTCTCACTCGGTGCTAAATTACCCGGCCAAAGGTAGATTAGCCCGAGCCCTTACAAACCACCTATTGAGCTCCAATAGGGGCATACCACGTGGCACATAAATACAACAACAATAGCAAGTCTCCCAACACCTCCCACAATAATCAAATAAATTTATAATAATATTGCACAATTATATAATATTACAAAATTTATAATTTTCTCAATAATCACCCAATTAACATGAAGTAACACTAATCATAAATTAAAAGCATGGTTACCTCATGGCTTTTTCAATAAATTATTCCTTAAAATTTCTCTCTCACCACAATCTTCACCAGTAATACAATCTACAAATAACATATTATTTATAAATATTAGTTTCAATTTTTGAAACTAATAAAATAATTCTAATAATAGAATTAAAAATATAACATAATTTCTAATCTCAATCTTAATACAAATCTAGAGTCAATACTATTAAGTAAAATTTTTAACTCCTCTTTTAAATTATCAATAAACATTAATAATCTAAAAATCAACTTCTAAACTAATTTTTATTATCAAAATTTTCTTTTTATTTCATAAATTCGTACCTAAAATATCCAAAAATTAAAAATTAAGTCTCTAGCTTAGAATCATAATCCTATAGCCATAATAATTCATTTCTCATCCCAAATAATCATCTAAACCTCAATAAATCAACATATATTTTCAGATCTAGTCTAGAATTTAATCCATAAGCCACAGATTCAAAGATCATCAATAAATTTATACTCTAGAACATTTATTATACTACTGACAACCTCAAAAATCATATTTATTCAACATAAATTCATCCCTCTTCCAGATCTTAAATTTTCTACCACTACAAACTCAGAAACTAAAGAAGAAGGATGACTAAGAAAAAATTTTAGAACACTTACTTAGTCTTGAAAAGTTTAAAATCACACCCTAAATATCCTATTAAAAATTCTTACCTTAAAACCCAGCACCGGTGAACTTGGCTCACAGATGCTCTCTCTGCCTCAGCTCACGCACGAAAGAAGGAATGAAGAAATGAAGGAATAGGTGAGTTTTTATAAAAATTCAGTGGGTCCCACACATTTTTTTTATTCTTTTCTCTCTCTTCTTTCTTTTTTTTTATTATTTTATTTTACTGTTGATGCGGCGGCCGAAAGCGTTCACGTTTTCTTCCTTCTTCTTCTTCTTTTTTTTGCATACCTTTTCCCTTTTTTATTATAATAATAATTTAATAATATTTTTTTATTTATTTTTTTAATTAATTTTTTTAATAAAATTTTTTTTAAATTTTTTTTAATTTAGAATTATATCCTAAATTAGATTTAATAATCATTTTCTACTAATTTTCTTACCTCTAAATATTATTATTTATTTTTTTAAAATTTCTATTAACCCAAATTAACTATTAAAATTTAAATTGGGATGTTACATATGGCATAGTTAATTTATAATATTGTTGATAAAGAACTTCATTTTTAATATAACATAAAAGCAGAATTGAGTATTCATTAAAATTATGATTTCGTGGAAATATATATATATATATATATATTCATATTACATGACATAATTAACTATGAATTTCAAATTGTAGTTTTCTTTCAAGATACTGAAAGACACTTATCATGTGCTTGAATGAAGTCTAAACCCGAAAAAAAAAAAAATTTGATAAGAACCATCAAAACACTTCTTTAAATGACTAAATTTATCATAAATTCTAAAATATAGTTATCTTTGAAGTTAAGAGTACATGTCAAAATGAGTTTTTTTCAATGATCTTTTCATGACAATCATTTAACATATAATTTATAAATCATGGTTCTATGCATTTTGTCACGGGATCAATACTCTCTCTCTAAAAAGTTAGCTTAACAGAGTGTGTAGTGCATTTAGAACCTTCTCCAAGTCCCTCCAATATGGGACGTAACAGCTCTCCTGACTAATCTGTGATGCTTTCATCATAGGTGACCCATCGAATGGGTCATCAACTGGGCAAACTTAGGTTTAGTTTGGATATCATTTTATCATGTGACCATTACTTTATTGTCAAAAAGCTAGTTTAGTGAGGCGTGCAACACATCCACTTATATACCCAAGGCCCTCCTCAAGTCCCTCTAATGTGACACATAACAATATAATTGATTTTAGCATGATAATAATATCTGTATATGTTTAAAGAAAGTAATTTCGTAGATGCATAAGTGACTTTAACATGTCACGCTAGTGGTTGAATTTTTTTTTTCCTCTTAACAGAACCATATTTCTAATTCATATGAAATTCCAATATACAATGGAAATGTTAAGATGCACTAGCTTTAAATTAAACCCCATGTGATGCACAGGAAAGTGTCACCCACAGTAAGATTTATATTATAATATTGTATAAAAATTTAAATATTTAAAAAATTGTGGAAAGAATGGGGATAGAAAAAAGAGTAATATAGTCAATGATGTTCTTAATGTATAGAGAAAGATATTGATGATACACTGCTATCTATGATTTGGATTGAATTACTGCAAGTAGACTAGCATTAAGTAATTTATTTAATATCTCTTTAAAATTTGAAATACTTTATAATACCATGACTTGGCCGAAAAGAAAAGAAAAAAAAAATAAAAGAATGACATATTCATAACTCCTATTAAAAACAAACAACAGTTCCATGGACAACAAAGAATAGCTCAACATGATGTTTGTGCACGTGCTTAAATCTGATCCATAAATTCACTGCTTGTTTGTATTCAAAATCCACTTCAACGCCAAATTCATTTAGTTTCGTGATGCTGCCTCTAACAAGAAGACCACCCACATGGGTATAATGGGAGCTTTTCTTCCTTATATTACAGCTAATACTTCCTCCACGCTTTCCCAACTTCATCATTTTCCATTAAGCAGTTTTTCAAAAGCCATTGATGCTCTTTAATCTCTATTGTACATATTCTCTCTAAATGCAAATCCCACTGCCAATTTCTTCAAACTCAAAATCCTCATCATGAGTCTACAAAATTTGTGATAAATTCAAGACATTAATCTTGCTGGAACTACATAAAGAAACAAAACTAAGTTTTGAACAAATGTTTTTCTCCCTAACCGGTCCTATATTAGAACAAGCAAGATGTTGTTCCTTCGAAAGCCAATACATTAACAAGTAAAAAATTTCAAAATCTAAGGAATTAGCAAGATAGTTAAATAATCAGATAGTTAAATAATACACAGACTTGCAGAAATTAATATCCAATGACAAACTCAATGTGAACAAAATCAGATAGTTAAATAATACACAGACTTGCAGAAATTCAATCTACTAAATCTACATAAATACAAAAGAAACAATTGGTATGGCAATATATAACCTAGCGTTAACCTATACAATACAGAAAATAGTGCTAATTACGTTGGAAAATTATTGTTTAAAAATTATGAGGACTATGCTTTGATAATCACGTATAGCACCTGAAAAATACAAATCACGAATGCAAAATAGGCAGCAGTGGAAAACACGTACAATCACACAAGGAGTCAGTAGCTCAAGACAATTCAATTCTGTTGCTTCAAGTGCCAGCTATTATTTAAAATCTAGAACTTGATAGGACAATGTGCTTCAAGAGCAAATTCATTAAAAAGGAAAAAAAAATTGGGATCCTATATATTTCTAAAGAAATGACATTCTTATACTAGAGAAAGGACACAGACAATGTGAGGAATTCAAACACATAATTTTCAGGCTCATTTGGCTCTGCACATTCTATTTGTCTATTTTAGAATCTAATAAT